CAGACCGCCCCCCCCTCCTCCCTCTGGCCATCACCATACTGTTATCTGTATCCATGGGCTATGTATATATGTTCTTTGTCTAATCAAGAAATTAGTTTTAGATGAATGCTCACCTATAAGTTTTGAAACTTCTAGCTCCACCATTCTAGCTCCATCCATCTACAAGTAAAATTCCTAACACTTCTTCAAATGTTGCCAGATTCGGTTATTTAATGACGTAGCCCTTTATTCTGTAACTAGAGGCCCTGTGCACAAAAATTTGTGCACTCGGGCGGGAGGTCCCTCAGCCCGGCCTGTGCCCTCTCGCAGTCTGGGACCCCTCACGGGATGACCACCTGCTGGATTAGGCCTGCTCCCACCGGGATTGGGCCAAATCTGTCAATCGGACATCCCTCTGGCAGCCCGGCAGCCATCGGGGGATGTCCCCTTGCCAGCAGGGAGAAAACCTAAGCTGCATTCGGACATCCTTAGCGCTGCTGAGGAGGCAGGAGAGGCTCCCACCACCACCGCTGTACTGGCAGCCATTAGCCTGGCTTGTGGCTGAGCAGAGCTCCCCCATGTGGGAGCTCACTGACCATCAGAGGGCAGCTCCTACCTTGAGCGTCTGCCCCTTGGTGGTCAGTGTGTGTCATAGTGACCAGTCATTCCCAGTCTTTCTGCTGTTTGGGTCAGTTTGCATATTACCCTTTTACTATGTAGGATAGAGGCCTGGTGCACAGGTGGGGGCTGGCTGGTTTGCCCTGAAGGGTGTCCCGGATCAGGGTGGGGGTCCCACTTGGGTGCCTGGCCAGCCTGGGTGAGGGGCTGATGGTTGTTTGCAGCTGGTCACACCCTCTTCAGGGTGGGGCTCACCACTGGGGTGCCTGCCCAGCCAGGGTGAGGGGCTGATGGCTGTATGCAGCTGGTCACACCCCCTTTAGGGTGTGGGTCCCCACTGGGGTGCCTGTCCAGCCTGGATGAGGGGCTGATGGCTGTTTTCAGGCTACCAGCACCCCCTTCAGAATGGGAGTCCTCACTGGGGTGCCAGTCCAGCCTGTATGAGGAGCTGATGGCTGTTTTCAGGCTGGCCACACCCCCTTTAGGGTGGGTGTCCCCACGGGGGTGCCTGGCCACTCTGGATGAGGGGCTGAGGGTTTTCAGGCTGGCCAAGCCCACGGGCGACTGAAGCTCCCAGCCTCTCCTTTTTTTCTTTTTTTTTATTCTGGGATTTATTTACCTTCTATAATTGAAACTTGGGTTCTGCTCCATCTCCGAGGCCACGGCATGCTGAAAGCAGGTATCTGGGTTTGTTTAGCTTCTATAATTGAAACTTTGTTGCTTTTGGAGCGCAGAGCCTGGCCGCGGCAGGCGGGGAACCTTGGCTTCCTCCATCACTGGAGCAAGCAAGCCTCCTGTTCGCTTCAGCTGCGTGGCTGCCGGCCACCATGTTTGTTGGTGGTTAATTTGCATATCTTCCTGATTAGCCAATGGGAAGTGTAGTGGAGGTATGGTTAATTTCAAGCTTTGTCTATTATTAGATAGGATATTATCGGTCCTTGAAAATAAAAAGTGAATACACACACATGGTATGTATATACATACACACGATTTTTTCTTCTTAATCATTCTTTATTAATATTTCCAGTTCTTCAGATCATCTGAATAGTCATCTTCTCTTTAAAATCTTCTCTTTAAGTGAGCAATATAAATGCTCATAAAAATAATTCATATACTTTGGATACTTTGGACACCAAGTATTTCAAGAGTCAAAAACTACTGTGCCTTAATATCAAATTTCTGAATCCATTTCTGAATGAATAAAATAGCTTCCTACAGTGAATTTTCCAGAGAAAAATATTTTGACATCTAACTGCAAGAATGAAGGAATAAACAAACTCAGAAAAAAAAACATGTAGGCTAATTAATAGCTTTTGAAAATAAATGTTTTATATTGAATAAATATTAAATTAGGAATATACAGTAGGATGTAGTCAGTCCACCAATGTACTGATTATTTTTATAGACAATTAGTTGGTAATATTACTTATTTTAACATTTGAAATGTTTAATACCTAATTCTAGAAACACTGAAAAAATAAGTCATCATAAAGGAATAGAAAAATCTCAAGGAGAAACAAATATTAGGCCCCGTGGGTCAAAAAAATGCATTATTTAGGCACTTTGGGCCATGAGTCTTTTTTGTTTTTCATCCAGTTTATTCTTGACTGGATTTCACAGCCTTTTTCTGTTTTAATTTAATCTGTACTTTATTTTAATTTATATTTTAATTTTTTAAATTAAATCTTTATTATTGAAAGTATTACATATGTCCCCTTTCTCCCCCATTAATCTCTTCTAGCCTGCCCTGGCCCCTGCCCCAGGCTTCATGACCCTATTGTCTGTGTCCATGTGTATTTTAATAGAAAGCTCATAGTACTTGTATGACTACTATGCTATTGCTATTTAAGAGACAGGTTCAACATCATCACTGTCATCATTATAGCAGAAACTTCCTTTGCTGGTCATCACCTTCTAGATCTCAAACTATCAACTCTCAGGAGGCCTAGTGAGAAGGGGGAGGAAGCACTGTGCGGAGAAGAGGGTGACCTTGCTTGGTGACAGAGCTGTGAAGAGAAGTGCCTATGTGGTTCCTCTATCAGGACAGCAGAAGGGAGGGAGGAGTTGGAAAGAGGCAGGCTTCACTCACCTCCTGTGTTTTTGTTCTGAGCAAAATGTTGGTGTAGAGGCAACCAGCCCCCTCCATGCCCAAACACACACACTGAAACCTCCAGGGCTTTAGTAAAAGTGCTGGCTTGATGAAAACTGGGAGGAGGTGGGTAAGAAACCTAAGGAATGATTAACAGAGAGAGGGAGTGGTCGCTGAAATCCTCAGAAGATGCTAGTAACACATACACCTGTGTGACTTTGGAATGAAAGTTTTTCCCTTGCTTTGGCAGGTTGTCTCATCATCCTGAATATCCATTCCATGATGAATACTGACTTCAGAGAGCTCCTGCACTTATTTTTCCCTGCGTGTGTACCATGACCTTTGGCTGGGTGATTCCCCCACACGTGGAAGTGAAAAGGGTTTTACTACCCTCAGATGAAGTGGCGATGGGCTTAACTTCTGTATAAGAGAAGTGACTTTGACTTAGCTATGTTGAAGAAAAAAATGTTTAAATCTGTTGAAATAATAGTTTGGAATTAAATAATTAAATTGTCAGCAAAGCCATAATGATTTGGTGGTTGTGGGTTTCCATCACTTTTTATTCATTTTACCCAGCTTTAGGGATGGATAACTGCTCGTTTTCTCTTGCATGCTTTAAAGGGAACGAGCTTCAACATAACTGGTGATCACACTTACTGCCTATCACTCCTGCTCCCATGTATCATACAACCAGCATTATGCAAAATGGCTTCAGACTATCAACATACACAAATAAAACCCTGTATTGTAAGACGGTCCGAAGATAATTATTTTAAAAGAAGGCTTTAAATAACATACCGAAAAAAGCTTTATAAAATTTTTAAAGTATTACTGGGATAATTGTGTCAATTTCAATGTAGCAAGTCCCAAAGATCACTGGTAATTTTACTCTAAGGTTTTCAAAGTGAATAAGATTATTAGAATTCTGCAAGAGAAATATATCTATTTTCAATTAAACTAAAGCAATATATTTTATTCATTTATACTGGGTCACTTTCACAGAGCAAGAGAGGTCTTTAAAAAGTATTTGTCCACAAAATACTTTTTAAAAAATAAAAAGTATTTGTCCAAACCAATTGCTTATAATCTTCAGACCTGAAAACATACACTTCTGAGAAATTATCACTTTAAAAACATTTGATCTGTACTCATTATTTCCACTGATTCTAATATTAATATTTATAATGCTGTGCTCTGAAAAATGTATTGTTCACAAATATTAATAAACTATGGTAACTTACTCAACCACATGGATCTCCATTTTGTTGTGGGGGTAGTGGGCTTGTCATCTGAATTCAATTCAATTTTTAAAAAAGTGATCAAGTTCCTATTACACATTTAGCACTGGGTAGAGAGGGAAGAAAAAGGAGAACAGAAACGAAAATGAAAGAACAGAAACTTGAGTCCTGATCTCAGTTGTCAAATCACTTCAAAGTATTTTGAGAGGGCTGGGGTGGAGGAGGGACCATACCTATCAAACCATTTTTTAATTGATTTTTAGAGTAAGAGGCAGAAAGAGGGGGAAAGAGAAAGAGAGAGAGAGAGAAATATCAATGTAAAGTCAAACATCGATCCACTGCCTCCTGCATGCCCCCTAATGGGGATCAAACCCACAACCTGGGCATTTCACCTGACCGAGAATCAAACTGGTGACCTCTCAGTGCTTGGGACAAAGCTCAACCAACTGAGCCACACCAGCCAGGACTCAAACCATTTTTTAAAAACAGGCAATGGAAAAAGTTCCCCACCAGTTCTCAGGGAAAAAATATAAATTTCTAAAAATTGGAAGAGGGGAATCCTCACTTAGTCATAACAGAGATGCTGGGGATAGAAAACAGAAAGGTCAAGAAAGAGTGACAGTCTGATATGAGCTTCTGCATGTCACTTCTTCCTCCACTCTCACTCCTCTCAAGCTTTCCATTTATTTTGGGGTGAATTGTATCCCCAAAATTTATATGTTGAAGTCCTAGCTCCCAGTACCTCCGAATGTAACCTTATTTTGAAATAAGGCCATTGCAAATGTAAATAGCTATGATAAGGTCATTGGGGTGGACCTTAATCCAATATGAAGGTATCCTTATAAAAAGGGGAAATTTGGACACAGATACTAAAACAGAAAAAAAAAATGCCAAGTGCAGAAAGAGGCAGAGATCTGGTTGATGCTTTTGCAATAAAGGAACCTCAGAAGTTTACATCAACCTACGAGAACAGTGATGGCGAACCAATGACATGCGTGTCAGAGGTGACAAACGAACTCATTTTTGGGTTGATTTTTTCTTTGTTAATTGGTATTTAAATATATAAAATAAATATCAAAAATATAAATCTTTGTTTAACTATGGTTGCAAATATCAAAAAATTTCTATATGTGACATG